AAACAAGGTACAATGTACATGTATTTAGAATTGTGTTTAGGATTCAAACACCATTTATACAGTTTACAAAAGTCATGTAGTAAGGGTATCGGAAATGTATTTTTGGACGTGTTCATATAGAAATTTGCTAGATGTTATGTCGATGCCACCAATTTGAACGAAAATTTGGGTCGGTTTATACAACATAACTTGATTTTATTTTTCACATATAAAAAAGTATAACAAAAATACAGAACTCCAAGGCAAATTCAAAACCGGAAGCCCGTAAAAACTGACAAAATCAAACGCTGTCAATAAACGAAACAAGTGAAAAACATCTGTCATATAACTTTTATCTCATACAAATATGTTTGAAGAACAATTAAGAATTTCGAAAGATGTCTCAAAAGTTCATTTTGACAGTAAGCAGTGGGCTACAACTGCTACCTCATATAAAATGAAACGTATAGTTACAATAAAAACATATCGCAACTACATTAAAAAATATCGCATCTACAATTAAATGAATAGCATTTAATTATTTCTTTACAAAAGAAAAACGTAGCAGTATCATTTTCACAAGGACATAAACTTTTGCTATTACTTTGATATTGAGCATATTTCAAGACGTTTATATTTAAACGATAGGCTAACAATTTATATGTCCTTAAAGAAATCTGAGCGTGTTGCTCGTTTAACTGGTCCATTTGACTTTTCTTCCTTTAAAACGACATGGAAAGGCTGATAATAATCGATTTCACGCTCTTTCGATTAATGGTAATACATTAAACTCTTCTGTCTGTCGCGTGAATTAATTTCGGTCTGAACATATTTATACATTTTAATATTAAATGATTTTTTTACAGCAAAAAATATCTTTTTCCTCATGGAATGTCTGCATACTTACAATTTCATATTAGAAAATATCGCGACTTCACATAAGAAACGTTTTTCTCGATTCGCACCTTCCATAGACTAATCATTATAAGACTGATTCATTTTTTTTTACCAATAGTAGTGAAGTTTCATCAAACGATTGTTCAATTATTAAAGGTTAACTCGATGAAACAGAACACATATCTTTGAGTTTAATAAGTTGATTTTAGTCTCTAAAGAAAGTAAGAAAAGTACAATTAGCATTTAAATCCTACAAATCACAAGCCAATCAAATGTCAATAATTACATGTATGTTTCATACGAATCCGTACTATCTATTGGCTGAAAGCAATCGCGAGGTATATAGATTCTTACATTGGTACCAGTGGATTATCGGATTTATCCAATCGATATGTAGAATCTGTTTCTCTAATGATTATCAAATAAATTTTCACTTTTGATAAACGAAAATCCCCTTCGAGTGCCTTCCACATTCCACAAAGTTGTCAATTTCATAAACACCTGTTAGCACATTTTGATTCATCCAATGAGCTGATAAAGGTTATGACCCTTAAACTCATTTAATCATCCTCTGAGATCATCGGCAACCACACGTTGATTTTTTTTAAATAATGTGTTCAGAAAGGGTTCAAATGCCAAAGAATTAGAGAAATTCCAATATCATATTATATTTTTCAATAAAACTCAAATTCAGCACAGTACTTAATAAAAGAGAGGCGAAAGATACCAGAGGGACATTCAAAATCATAAGTCGAATATAAACTGACAACACCACCTGCTTCTCATAACAATTTGACAACAATGCATAGGAAAACAAACGAAAAATTTGTTATTACTCGTAATTTCATGATAGTAGCATTAAACGGTAACTATAATAATTGGATGCTTCTATTGAAAGTTTATAAGGTAATAAAAGCGTTGATCGTGCGCGCATTTTTAGTATGAAGCGCTTCCGCGCTGGATACATAATGTGCTTCGGTCAACGCTTTTACACCCCGATAAAACTACAAAAAGAAGCATTCTTTAAAAAAAAATTCCTGTAATTTATTTTGTATTCTTGTTGAACCCTTTCTTTATTATGATACTTAGATTAGCATTATTGACCATTATTTGAAATATTACAGGTCTTATGGTCTCATTCAGAGATAAAAAAAAAAATAAAAATAAAACGATATAGCCATGCATACTTTTTTGGATAACACATTTTGCCAAACAAAATTTTTGTTGTTGTTGTAAACATATGTGATGAATAAAGAAATGTTTATAAACCTTAGCAGCTACAGCTAAGCTAGTACCTAGAGTACCAATAAATTATATTACAAAAAAATAAACTGTTGTATACTGAAGGTATTTCGGAGATATGAACAAAACAAAAAAGATTGAATAATCATATAGTTTGCCAAAATGTATAATATAATATCACACTATTTAGAAAATAAAATTAAGTCCATGTCACCGAGCTTGTATTTAACCAACAGGTAGTGATAAATTCATAAAGATAATAAATGATCGAGACACACAAAATTATGTTAACTAAAAGACAACTTAGTTCCATGTGGTGAAGTTGAAATCATCCTTTCGAAAATTTTACGGACGCCATCACGAGTTGGTTGTCCCTTTGGTAATAGAATTTCAAAATAAAGTTCGAGTAGATATTTGTCATTAGAGCTTAAAGAAGCGGAGTTAATCCTGTATACATTACATTGAGATTCTTAACCTCCAGGATAAAATCTGACCAAATTTAATTATAATGTATACAGGTTTAACTCTGCCTTTTTATATTGTTTGCAGATGCCAATCTTAATTACAACGCTTGAGCAAACATTTATACAAACAAAGCAAGCAAGCCAACCAAATTTTCGTTTAACAAGCATTTGGAAATTAACTCTAAACACTTTAAGAACATTTAGATAAAGTGTGGTCACCTTGCTTGTTTTTTTGTGGCATAACAGGGGTAAACTCACAGTCCACATCATCATAGATTAGAAGAGTCATAGGCTTCATTTTTTGTCTTTATTTATTAAATCAAATGTACCTAACTGTTTGTTATATAGACCATATTTTGACCATAAAACATGATAGTGTATATATTATCGTGTAAATGAAAATGCATTCAAATAAATTGCATTTCTAAAAAAAATCATAATTAGCACAGTACTTAATAAAAGAGAGGCGAAAAATACCTGAGGGACATTCAAACTCATCAGTCGAAAATAAACTGACAACGGCATGGCTTAAAAAGAAAAAGACAAACAGACAAACAATAGTTCACAAAACACAACATAGAAAACTAAAAACTGATCAACACGAACCCCACCAAAAACTGGGGGTTGTCTCAGGTGCTCCGGAAAGGTAAGAAGGTCCCGCTCCACATGTGGCACTCGTCGTGTTAACTGTTTTCTTTAACCAAGTAAGAACTTGGATAAATAAGGCGCCTTTAATGTATAAAGAAGTTGATTTCACTGGAGTTTACAATTTGCATGTAAATGATACCTTTCAAATGTAATGCATTTCTGGATAAAATGACAATATATTACAGAGATAAATAAAAAGTACGTAAAGAAACGACGCATACAAATGGAATCAGTAATATCCTAAAGACTTGCACTTAGTAGAAATGACAAAATAAACTTTCTTAACAGTTGTTGAGAAAAAGAGAGTGTTTACCGTAATGCAATGGATTTAACAGACGGGCATATTTTTGTTCATCTTAAGTATATTTATCAATGAAATATCTGTATTAAATCTTTTTTGTTCTGCAGAATGAATTAGAGCGCCAAAGGCCTACAATGAAACACATCCAGAACGATATAGTTGTAAGTTTCTACTTCGTCTATTTCTATTCATGTTATTTTTATGCATTGAATTTATGGCTTGAATTATGTTCTCTTTGATTAAAAGGTAGTACAGACTAACGTAGAAGAAAAATCAAACAAAAAACGAGACATTACAGGCTGACAACCAGTTGAAATTTAACAACAGAAATTGAAGTAATGTTAATGTTATGAGATTGAAGTAAATGATAACGGTCGGTTAGCCACGGCCTACAGTTTACGCCTTTTTCAGAAACAATGCATAGCTATATTATTGGTAGGAAAGGTTTCTTTGAATAGTCGTACTATATAAGATAGTAAAAGAGATGAATATATTATTTTTTCGATTTTAAGTTATCGTTCATCGAGCCAAAGTTGTATCAAATATTTTATCAAAATTTGTGACATAGACCATTTAGTGTAACTTGACCTTAATATGTTTAAATGGCCTAATGATTATTATAGTTCATAACATGTTTAACCAGTGTACTAATCGTACTGCAATTATAATGCTGTTTTTTTTTCAATTTATACGAAATGATAGCAAATACCCTCCTCATTTTGCATAAAGCGCGGAAACGTGGTATTAACATTTTAAATCTAAAGTAAAACTTTAGCTGAAATTTTCGGTGAAACGAAAGAATAATTATTACACTTGAACTTAATTTTTGGCTGAAAGATGAATCATTTTGTTTGAAACAAGCCATGTAATATGAAAGCAACACAATTACACAACACTATGTGTTTGTATTGTTCGTGTACTTCATGCAAACAGTTATGTCTTTTTAAATCGCAAATATTATTAATCTGAAAAAGTAGTTGCCAAAATATCTTGAAAATATTGATTACTTATATAAGTATAGTAATACATCATTATCGTATGTATTAACATGTATGATAATGATTGAAATTTGATCGATATTTGACGAGATAGTCCTCTGAAATATTTGTGACATCAGGAAACACATTAATTATTGTTTTACTGTAAAAAAAAACAAGAACTAGTAACTAGATTTGCTGATGTTCAATAGATAGATAGGAACAATACAAGTATAGTGAATGTGATATGTAGATTTATTTCCTAACTAGAGCTATTTTCCTAATGCTTTGGTTGGCTTGCTTGCTTTGTTTGTATAAATGTTTGCTCAAGCATTGTTTTTAAGATTGACATCTGCAATCAATATATTGGCGGGTCAATTTTAATTACAATGCTTAAGCAAACATTTATACAAACAAAGCAAGCAAGCTAACCAAACCTTTATACTACAAGCATTAGGAAAATAGCTCTAACGATATATTTTGTAGTCTTTACGTACAAAAGTAGATTCGAAGTCAATACAGAAGACAAACTTGAAGATTTTAAAGATTCCTTTGGAAAGATCTTAAGTGAAGTTCAGAATGTTTATAAAGTTGCAGAGGAAATTCACGAGAGAATAAACAAATTGGTGGATAATGGAAATCGACGATTTGTGGATGATGGAAGTCGACGATTTGATATTATAGTATTTATCAGAGAAGGGATATCCAGGGTTATACAGTTTGCCGTAGACTTTTTTCTTGGATCAGTTACTAAATATTTAGAATAAAAAGTAATATATGAATAAACTTCCATATTTCTATCATAATTATTGTGTACCAATAAAGCACTTTTACTGTACTAGTATGTCTTTTTGTCATGTCATTATTAGTAGACACTATTGGTTGTAACAGTAAACGATTCTTCTGATCTTTTTATCAATATGCAGTAACACTTAACATTTTTAAATTCAGCTTCTGAGGAAATGACTTCGCGTGTTGTAACATGAGTCCAAACAAGTATGCATGTACTGTATCAAAACTTCAAAGATATGTTAAGAATGACTCCAATCAGAAATCTGAGTTTCCTATTGTTAGTAAACCTGAACCTTTTTCACTGTTACCGTTTCATGCACGCTGGAGAGTGTACAACAGAAATATTCTAATGCTATAATTACAAATAATTTCTCGATTCGCACATGGTATGGAGTGAATATTGGACTATTTATCAGTTATCGACAAGTCGTGGATTATTTGTTTGCAAGAACAATGGATTTAAAAGTGTGTATATTTTGTCTAGTTGTATATACAGCTTATTTGTATCACTGTATTCTGGTTCTGCATGATAAATTAGAGTACAAGAGTTATACAATTGATACAGTGAAACGAATTCAGGATGCTATAATTGTAAGTTAAAGTTGGTTTTTTTTTACTTTCAGTAAGACTTAAGAATTATAATAAGCATATGCCTATGCGTAAATTAGAAGAAGTCTAGACCAGTTCTGCTTTTAAAGGATTTGGTTTTGGCAAAGCTGATCAGTTTCATTTTGCTGTCTCATTTTAAATATATTCATATATCTATGTAATTATGTGATAATTGTTGTCTTTTTGTAGGTGTTCCATTCGTCGTACGGATGTTTTTACTTTAATTTTCCTAGAACTGATTGATCGATTGGTGTTTGCTTTAGGCCGCCTCTGCACAAAATCGCGGCGAAATTTTGTTGGAAAGCCGCTACTTTTATTTCGTTAATTTTGAAGTAGCGTAGACACAATTTGTACGCTGTATTAAGAAATACTTTCGAAAGATTAGATGTTCCTTTACAATGCATTACCTTGATCAATTGAAAACAATTTTAATTGTCTGGTATTTGCTGTTTCATTGGTTAATATTTCTAAAGCGACCACAAACTGTCATAATTAGTTAAAAACTTCGAAAAACATGGAAATGCAACCACTAAGTAAACCTATTATTGTTTTCATTTTGGAGTACTAACAATCAAATATACCCATACTCCTTTAGATTCTGAAAATTCAAATCGTTTGTACTATCGAGCTACATTCCATAACGTGCGGGTACACACATTGCACCTATTTTGACATTTTTCCCCCCCCCTAGGTACGTTTATGATCCATACAAAAGTTTCCTGTCTGGGTTTGTTTTGTAGATGTATCCTTAATTACTTTAGTTCAACCAATTTAATTTTGAATCCACATTGAATCATAAAAAAATGGGTTTGAATCGACCTCCAAACGATCCATGATTCTGTAATGAGGAGTACCCAAATTGCATCCATACTTAATTCATATCCTTAAAAATCGTATAACTGATGTTTTGTTTTATTTCTTCAAATATTTAGAACAATTTGACATGAGTCCATGCTAACAATTCATTTTGTAAGAAATGGATGCTTGTAACATATTTTATCTGCTCATTTATAAAAGATGACTTTTTGTTTACGTCGCATGGCGACGCTTCCATAGATTTTACTTTTTCCAGTGAATACTGCATCTGTTGGTCTATACTGTGAAAGTTTTGTGCATATCTACATATAATTACCTATTTTGAAAGACGTGCATAATGTCAAATCATAAAAATACAAATTGGTTAGTCTAAAAAAAAAAAACTTTTTTGCTAAATAAGTGCAATTTGGGTACTGTGACGTTATGCTGTTTGTACATCTGATATGTCAATCAAATATTGAGAATGGCAACCGTACAATTAATTTATCATAGATACCAGGATTAAACATTTGTACGCCAGTCTACAAAACGCTCATTAGTAACGCTCAGGTAAAACAAGATTAAAATTGCCAAATAAAGTACAAAGTTGAAGAGCATTGAGGAGCGAATATTCCGAAACGTTTTGACATATATAGCTAACTTAAGAATGTTCGCTACTCTGTTTCAAAATAACAAGCTTTTTGAAAGACTGTCATTATATAAATGAAGGAACTAAAAAAGCAGAAAAAAATGAAGGGTCCGTTTGCTTGTTTTCGAGATATAAGCCATTGAAAATTTGGCGGGAAATGATTCTCTCTAGATTTTTCATACATTTAACATTGGCACCTTTTTTCTTTCAAAAACATTGAAAAAATAACAAGGATTTTATAAGATTTTCAAATATGACTTTTTAAACTATATGTTATAAATTATGAAAATAAAAGTAGGGGTAAGTGGACAAAATTTCCTAATAGAAAAACATGGATAAAACCAGAGGATTTCGAATATCTGACAAAAAATCAAAAACAAGAGGAGCGAACATCCTTAATCTATTCATAACAATCTTTTCACAGAACGAGACGGAAGTAGAACTATCTGGTTATGTTGATGTTTATCACATTTTTAATGGTAATATAAATTAAGACGACAGAAGTTTACCGATGTTCAAATCTCTTAAATCGATTAGGAAGAGAGTAATCAAATTAAGAAACAAAGTCTGAGGGAATCGCATAAACTCCAAAAGGACCGAGACGGGAAGCGACTACAGGGTAAATGTCTTCTGATATGCATGCATCACTCGCATTGTGAATTCACACTCAGTCAAAATGTCACTCTCGGGAATAGGACAAAATCGGTTAAGTTACAGATCAGTCGACAATACTGGTATCTAAAGATCTAAGACCACACAACCATGTCGCTATTGAGTTGAGATACCGACACACCGCATTGGTCAACCCATTCGTGATGTTTACTGTCAAAGTTATGTAGTGTCGATTTCAGTGGGTTCTTCCTCATAACTCTGTTGGAAAAGTTGTGGTGTGAGGATCACCCCCCCTCGTAATGAAGTCCGAATAGTGTGAACATACACGATCGTAATGTATTTACTACGATATGTAAACGCCATACGATTGATTCAGAGATATTTTACTGCTCAGAAATGGAAAGTTGACAATTGGAAAGTTGAAATCATAAAGTTTGTCATATTTCTAGTTATAAGTCGTCCATCTATCAATTTCGAGGAAAATATAAAGGTATGAAGCAAACCTTCTTCTTTCTGTTGTATCACTTAGATATTTGAGATGTAAGCACTCAATGACATGTGGTTTATTGGTACATAACATAATCAATATATAAAATGAGTGCAACTGACTAAAAAATAGGTTGAAGGTGACAAAGACATAAATATCGATGTCATATGAGTATGTAATGTATCAATTGCCTGAACTCTATAGCATCTCTTTTTTTACCAATTCTTCTTGAATTATTTTCATGCTGGTTGTTATTGATTAATAATCATCAGAATCCTCCAATTGTAAAACAATAAGATCTTACCCTAAGGAAAAGCAATAAAAAAGTATAACAAAAATACCGATCTCCAAGGCAAATTCAAATAGAGGAAGTCCATAAAAACTGACACAAATCAAACGTTATTAAACAAGTTGAAAACAACTGTCATATGACTTGGTACGGTACAGGAATTTTCTGAAGAAAATGGTGGGTCTTATAGCTAGCGAAACCTCCTTAAAGTGATTTTTGATTTTAGCAACTTATTCTAACTTGCTTTTATGTGAAATTCATACTTTGCAGAGAGAAGAGGAACAACAAAAGTTCAAGCTTGACGAACTACGGACTAAAATTGTCAACATCAAATATGATAATCTAGAATTCCGACAAAAAATCGAAAGGACAATTTTACAAATGCAAGCCGAAAATATGAAAGATTTCAAAGATTTACTTACAAGACTTCAATCTGATCATGATGGTGTCAAAGACGAACTTGAAGAAATTAAGAAAAATCTTAAAGAAACCTTTGGAAAAACATTTGAAGAAATTGAGGAAGCTTATATAGTCTCTAAAAACATACTTGAAAGAATAAATAAATTGGAAGTTAATGAAAATCGTCGACAGGATACCGGAGTTTTATGGATGATTAAACAAGGAATATCAAGGCTTGCACAGTTAGCATGGAACTTTTTTCTTGGACAAAAAACTGGATATTTAGAGTAAAATGTAATAAGACATCAGCATACTCACGATGTGCTGTTGATGAATAAATTACTTTTACGGATTGTCCTTTTGACATAGTTACAAAGAGTAACCACATACAACAATCCTATACGATAATAATAGAAAATGCATAGCAATTCAGCATATCTAATTTTAAATAATGTATAAAATAATTTAGATGAACAGATAAACATTGAACAACTTTCTTCTAAATTTTTGAAGGAGCAATATGTTTTGTGTACTGTTTGTCTTTTTGTCGTTTTCGTTTGTTGCCATGGCATTTTCAGTTTGTTTTCGACTTATGAGTTTGAATATCCCTTCGGTATCTTTCTCCTCACTATGAGATATATCCCATAGAAATATAAGAGTGAGATAGCATACGTGTAATAAACTCATTCAAATCGTAATGTCATGATATCCACGAGAGTATCAAAATTTGTTATTATTACTTAACGCGATTGATCAAATTAACTTGTATAGTGATCGTGCAGAATGCATACATTTTACGTTCTTCTCCATATAAAAATGTTTTGATGTTGGATATTTTATGGATTTCATTGGATTTTCTGTTTTTTTCCATTTAATTGTGACATATGTTCTTTTGTTGGTTTCAGTTTATCTGAAAAAAGTAAAATAACAAAAATACCGAACTCCGAGGTAAATTCAAAACGGAAAGTTCCTTATCAAATGGCAAAATCATAAGCTCATACACATCAAACGAATGGAAAACAACTGTCATATTCCTGACTCGGTACAGACATTTCCTTATGTAGAAAATGGTGGATTAAACCTAGTTTGATATCTAGCCAAACCTCTTACTTGTATGATAGTCGCATGAAATTCCATTATATTGACAACAATATGTGAATTTCTATTTCCCTCTAAACTTACATGTCTAAAATAAAAGGAAATAAACCAATTGCATTGTCTCTAATTATAGCATTCAATAACCCACATTTTCGTGAGTGCTTGCAGAATCTCATATATCCTAGTGAACTTGAGAGTAAGGATACAACAGAAAGAACAAGGTCTGCTTCATATCTTGATCTTTTCCTCGATATTGACAAAAATGACGACTTCAACTTAGAATCTATGACAAACGTGAGGATTTCGAATTTCTACTTGCCAAATTCCTATTTCTAAGATGTTACATTCTTTCTGCCCAATCGTAAGGGGTTTATAATTTCACAAGTTACGCTCGTGCATGTTAACACTATACGGACGTCAACAGCAAGAATGTGATCCTTACACAAAAACTACTCCAATGAGAAGAAAAGATTCAAATCGATATAAGTTTACCTGTCACCATCACGAACTGTTGACCGATACAATATGTCATTGTTTAATGTTGTCGCAATTTTAGATTCTTGAATACCCGTTTAATCTGTATTTTCATCTAGTGTGCGTATTCCCAATTGTGAAATTTTGACCGAGTGTGGTTTCTTATGGCATGTGATGCACACATAGCAGGAGACAACTATCCTGTTGACGCACACAGTTTCGTTCTATTTGGAGTTCATGTGATTCCCTGAATTTTTGTTTGTTACCTTGATTTGTCTTTCTTAATCGTTTTATGGAATTTGGACATCTGTAAACTACTATTGTCTTAATTTATATCATCAAATATCAGGCTTTGAGCGTTCCTGATGAAGGCAAATCTAGAAAAAACGCGTTGGACGCGTGCAATTTAGAAAAGTTGTTTTTAGATTCTATTCATTTATCCAGATAACTAACATAATGTTTTTAGGTTTTATGAGAATCATTATTTTCTCATTTTCAAGGCATAAACAATGGCTCTTGTCATTTCGCAGTATACATACTACTTCGTGGCAGATCACGTGTATCATCAGAAGAACTTAATACATGACTTTTGGTATCTTTGGAGAGTAACATACCTCATTTCCGTGTGCACTAAACGTGATGGTGGAATAACCTTCATTAGGTAAGCTCATGACAGAACGTTTTGATAATTCACATCTCACACCAGAGAAGAATAGATAGATGTTGAATGTTAATAGGCTCTTACAAGTTTACAGATCAAAATGGTTAATACCAATTTCTTTATAATGACAACTTCTACGCTGCTGGTGGACAATTATTCCCCGAGTGTATCATCAGCTTAGTAGTCGCTACTTCGGTATGATTTAAAACAAACCGTTCTTAAATTTCCGTTTTATAGATTTAAAAATTATACAGAAAAATAAGGTTTCAACTCCCTCAGACAAAGTTGACCTCAGATGGATTTTGCTATTTTTGTTCGGTCCTTTTTGGTCATGAAGCTCTTTAACTGTTTGGGTTCTTATACATCTATGGCTTTCAAATATTCGGCTTTGAGCGTTCCTGGTGAAGGTAAATCCAGAAAAGCGCTTCGGACGCATGAATGTTATAAAGAGTTGTTATAATTTTTTCATGGATATTAACATTATATAAAAAATGTAGCTCAAGCGTTTCATGTAATTGGTATCCTATGATTATAATTATATCCTGTCCATCAATGATTGTATTATTAATTGTAATCTTTAGAATACCTTATGTTACATTAATCAAACAGACTATTTTAAATAAACGTAGAATCGATCAAAATGAATATATAGTACATAAATGTACATTTAAAAGAAACATTTGGAAGTATCTTGGGGGAAATTAAAGATGTTAACAAAGTTACAACGCGTATAAATGAAAGAGTAGAAAGATTGGAAGATACTGAAAATCGACGACATAACTCAGGAATTTTGTCGTTCATCAAACAAGGAATATCAAGAGTTGTACAGTTAGCTTATAACTTTTTTCTGCGACCGTTTGGTTGATATTTAGACTAAATTGTGGTAATAAGCCATCAAAGAATTACAAAAACTGTTAATGAATTAAGCACTTTTACTGTATGTTTTCTGACAGGGGCATATTCACTTCATAGACAACACATTGTATGATCTCAAATGAGGTAATTTAACCTGAGAGGAATAAATCTCACATACGGTAATGTAACCTGAGATGAATATATCTCACATGAGGTAATTTTGACCTGAGATGAATGATCTCACATGAGGTAATGTAACCTGAGATGAACAGATCTTAATTGAGGTAATGTAAACTGAGATGACTAGATATATATTGAATGTTAACAGGTTAATATGTTTACCCTTAAAATTTAAACTTCAAACCGGGAAGAGAATATGTTGAGGCGATATGAATTTAAATCTTCTTTTACTATTATAACTCTGGTATCGTTTATGAGTGTTTACTATGCCGACCATCATCGCCTTATTCTTGACGTACTTACATAACAGTCAACATTATGATATTTTCAGCATATAACTGGTTATCATTGTATAAAAAGATGTGAGTTATACTATTCAGCATCTATTTCTGAAAATTCATATTTAACTTTTAGTGGTTTGTGTTTTACCCCGGCGTTGTGGGTTTCTCATCGTCTTTTGAGTTTTGAATGTCCTTTGATAATTTTCGCCTCTATCTTTAATAATACCGTTTACTTAAAATTTTAAGAATAGTTTTTAATTAATTATCAATCTGTAAACAAAGGGTAACAACTTTTCAGTCTATGTATTTTTTAATTGAAATGACATTCCTCAAGATAATAAAACAAAAATAATTAAATATTACATTCGAAAAACTAAACCTTTAAAAACCTACCAAAAATAAATGCCTTTTCAAAGTTAACAGCTAAATTGCTTTATTATAACTACTACTACTACTACTACTACTACTACTACTACTACTACTACTACTACTACTACTACTACTACTACTACTACCACTACTACTACTACTATTACTACTACTACTACTACTACTACTACTACCACTACTACTACTACTACTGTCACTACTACCACTACTACTACTTACTACCACTACTACCACTACCACTACTACCACTACTACTACTAATACTACTACCACTACTACTACTAATACTACTACCACTACTACTAATACTACCACTACTACCACTACAACCACTACTACCACTACTACCACTACTACTACTACCACTACTACCACTACTACTACTACTACTACCACTACTACTACCACTACTACCACTACTACCACTACTACCACTACTACCACTACTACCACTACTACCACTACTACTACTACTACTACCACTACTACTACTACTACTACTACTACTACTACTACTACCACTACTACCACTACTACCACAACTACTACTACTACTACTACTACTTCTACTACTACTTCTACTACTACTACTACTACAACTACTACTACTACTACTACTTCTACTACTACTACTACTACTACTACTACTACTACTACTACTACTACTACTACTTCTACTACTACTACTACCACTACTACTACTACTTCTACTACTACTACTACCACTACTACCACTACTACTACTACTAATACTACTACTACTACTACTACTACTACTTCTACTACTACTACTACCACTACTACCACTACTACCACTACTACTACTACTTCTACTACTACTACTACCACTACTACCACTACTACTACTACTACTACTACTACTACTTCTACTACTACTACTACTACTACTACTACTACTACTACTACTACTACTACTACTAATCTTACTACTACAACTAGTAAATTATTGTTAATCGTAAATCTTTTGACTATTTGTGAAAAGCCCGTTAGGAAGCATGTTAGCAAAATAACACAAAATAAAACCATACCTGAGGGTCAGGATTTGGTGGATCCTTCAATTCTGTATATTCTTTAATTATTTAAGCCGTTTTTTTTCTATTCTTTATAAATTTTCCCCATATTTCTACATTTTTTTTAATATCTAGCACCCCATTTTAACCTCTTTCCATTATTGCTATGGTCCATTTTTCTCTATTTCTTATTTTTGGAGCATTTTTCTGTAGTATTGGCAAATGTCTCTCTATTCTGTAAAATCACCTCAGTTGCTCTGGAAGGGTATGCAGATCCTCCTCCACATCTTGCACCCGTCATGTTGCGCATATTAGTACAAACCCGGTGATAAGTCTAATTCAGTAGGTCACATTGAAAAGGAATTGTAGTTACAACAATTGGAACATATCCGTTGTCATCTGTGAAACTGATGTTCCATAACGGTCAACCAACTTGTGATGGTGCCCGTAAAATCTACGAAAGGATGATTTCAATTTCACCAATTGGAACTCTTGGTTTAATAGCTTCCTTGTGAACAGCAACCCCCTATCAAGGAAATCATGATAGGAAATACAATCCCTGTAATA